GTGTGTGTGTGTGTGTGTGTGTGTGTCCTCACTCTGTGTGTGTGTGTGAAGTGCTTCCTGAGAGAGGTGACCCCGGGGGCGAAGAGGCTGATTGAAAAATAAGTTAATTTCCAGGGCCGATCGATGGGAGACAGGCGCTCAAATATCACGGGAAATTAAAATGCTCATAGCAGCGAGGCAGGGCCCTCTGCTCAGATGCTGACCCCTGCTAATTAATTTCTATGTAGTTATCATTTCATCTCAGGGCCCGTCTCTCACAGGGAGAGAGGTGATAAGTTCTCTTCAATTAACTAATTACACTGAGAGGGTGAATTGGCTGCTAATGTGAAAGCAGAAGGCGGCGTGAGGATGATGATGGACAGCTCTACCTGAAGATCTGTTTCTTCATCATTTTTTAACCTGAATTCAGCATTCACACTAACACAGCATTCATTTTAGCCTTGAGAGTTTTAATGATTTACTATTGCAGGAAATATCTGAATGATTTGACTAAATACACTTTTTATTTAACCTTTTTTCTCTCTCCCTTACTACTTCTCTTTTATATCAATGAAAGCATATTTAGAATGTGAAATGTAAGTTTCAAAAGCATGCATGTCCTATTTATATATATTTGGTCATTATGGTATATTCTTTTTACTTGCTGGTTTATTTCTATTTGAGATTTTATATTTTAGAATTGTATTTAATTTGTTATGTGCAATGTCTTGTTTTGTTTTATGCTGCTGCAACCATAAAAAAAATCCCAAATTGGGATTAATAAAGTACATTTGATCTCATGTCTGCAAACTGCCCAGATGCTATTACACACCTGTATTCTGTCCTCTGGTAGCTCGGTCTTCATGGAGAGCATTTCTCGGGCGTACACATCTGGATAGTGGGCTTCATTAAAAGCTTTCTCCAGCTCCTCCAGCTGATAGGAGGTGAAAATGGTTCTGCAGGCAAAACAAAAAAAGGATATATTATTGTTTAATCCATTTGTAATTTGGATTTCTCTGTGGCTTCTTACTTCAATTTTGAAGGCTACATTTAAAAATATCAGTCAACAGCCCAAATGTAAAAATAAAAACGAAACAATACCCTTGCACTGAAATTTAAAATGAAATGAAGATGGCAACTTATAAAAAGTTTTTTTTTTGGAATACAAGTAGAAGTAGAAATGTAGACGTCAGAAACAATAATGACAATAACAAGTCGTTCTTCTTTGTTTACAAAATGCATGTAAGAAAAAAAAATTAATTTCATTTTCTTCCCCCTTTATAAAGGCCTTTTCATTATTATCTTTAACGAAATAACTGGCAACAATACGATTGTGTTATTTCTATATGCATTTCAGGCTAATACCATATTTAAAATAGGCTAATGCCATTTTTTTTAAATAGGCTAACAGCATATCAAAATCACACACACTTGGATTTAAATAGGCCTCGTGTGTTTTGTATGTTGGTGGTCTTAAATGTGACACCATAAGAAAATAGTCAAATGATTTCCCTAAATAAAAGGCTAGATTTAACATCACAAGTCACACAAATAAATACATATATAGACATCGTTATATTATTTTGTTTTCATTTTCGTTGTGTTTTACCTGTGTCGTCTTTTCTTCCGTTTCTTGCTCTGACTCATGGATGATTTGGAGAACTTCTGATCACCGGAGGAGAGACTCATGTCATCGGAATCTGCGAGGAAACACATCAGAGAGCAACTCAAAATACGGCAAACAATAATAATAATAAAAATAATAAACTATACATTTAATTTATAAATGGTTATTTAAAAATAAAAGTCAGCTTTCCTGCTTTAAATTATTTCCATTATTGGTTCTCCGTCGCGTATTCTCCCTAAACATTGACTACAATTAGTATGAAAAAACTATTTTAGAAATGACCCTATTTTGAAAACAAACGTTTCGATGCATTTAAAAAGAAAAAGATTAGTTGTTATCCCTGGTGAAATTAACTTTCAGTCTCAGCAGTCGTTATCACTCGATCACATTGCGCAGATGCTTTCCATTTTTATTTGCAAGAAAAGTCTGCTATCCCCTTATTTTAGACTGTTATCAATGAAGACATGATGAATAATATGGTATGTTAACACCTCCACCAGAACCCACATTATGTCCCAGAGTGACCGGGCCTCAGTGTGTATATTCAGGACTCACCCGAGCTGGCGGAGTGCTGCGCGTCCATCTGTGTGTCCATGCGCGGCGCGCGGTGCAGCGGCTGCAGGTGCACGTGCTGCGCCTCTGCCAGCACCTCCAGGAAAGCAGGTTGGCTGTAAAACGAGTGTATTCCCTCTGGTCCGAGCAAACCCATGCCAACCCCGAAACCCCCGAGACCCCCGTGTCCGAGGGCCGACCTGGCGGCCAGGACGTGCGTAGTGTGCGGCAGAGCCTCCAGCGGCCTCCGGGGCGCCGCCGGAGGATCCTTGGTGAGGCCGAGCAGCTCCTGGATCCCGAAGCCCGTGCGCCTGTGCACCGTGGGAGCCATCTTCCAGCCTGGATGCGGATGATGGGAAAGCCCGTGGTTCACGCTGGTGTGTGATGCTGGTTTCTGTTTATTCTCAGTGTCAGAGAGAACAACTCCCTCCTTCCCTGTCATGGTGTTGACTATTTTGCTTTTCCTCTCCCTCCAAAACAAAAAAGAGTCCCAGACGCAATCAGCCCGGTGATGCTGCTTCTTTATCTCCCTGCCCTCCTCTCTGCTGCGCTTTTTAACCAGCAGGCAACAGGCGGCAGCCAATCACAGGAGGGGGAGACTCCAAGCTGAAGTTTGCACGAGCCCCCATGGTTTATTAAAGTAGATGACACTAGGCTACTTCTGCCATTTAATTGGGACAAAATATCGATCATATTTATCTTTTTGCCAAGATATTGATGAGGATGTAGGTAGATTGTCCAACAAAAAACGAAAACTTAGATTGCCTCTTCAGGCTATTGTGACAGCAGAATCATTAGGCCTTTTTCAGGAAAGCATGTTGTCTTAATTTCATTTTCAGTCATGATATCATAAAGTCATATTTATTTATCAAGTCATCAAATACGAATCGAAAACATTAAGAGCTATGGGATATTTCTTTGCTGAAATTTAGATTTGTTTTTGGAGGTGAAGGGGCATTAAAGTGATGTTTGGCTATGAAAATTAGATAGAAAATAAATCACCAGTAAAGAAAAAACGAAATGTTTTACTTTCACCGTAACTCTCCGTGTTTCTGATCATCTGCTCCGGGAGTCCAACAGATCCAATCATCCGGATAAATCGAGGAGAAACGAGGAGCTTAATTTGCAGCACGTTTGTCCTAATTTAAACACTGCTAAAAATGAAGTGAGAGTGAGAAACCAGATTTATGGACTAAAAATACTGTAGCCAAAAATAAAATGGGCCAATTCATACTTAATATACAGCTCCTACTTTAGCAGATAAATGCAGAGTTGAAATGGTTTTGATGACAAAGGAATAGTCTCATTAATAATATCAGCAAAATTATACCACTAAACGAATCTATTATGACACACATGCCAATAAAACCTATACTTTAGCCATTTAAAGCATCGGATTACACCAAAGTGCACTATTGTAAAAACAAGGGAAACGTGCAAATTAAAACACAGGTCACGGTTTTTTCAGTGGTCAAATTAAAATAAACAATCATAAACTCACATTAGCCAATTTCTCTAACAGTTAATTAATCAATTCAGCTTGTTATTAGGGAGACTGCCCACTGATTGATCCGTTAGCTCCCTCCCTAACGTCCCATATAACCCTCGCGGTGATTTGCATATTCTAATTAGGTTTGTGCACTAAACGTTTTGTCTTTGGCGACAGTCTGCGCATCTGTTGATAGGTTATTAAGCGTGTTTTATTCTGTGACGGGTCACAGGATAAAGAAAACAATATCCCAGTTCAGGGTATTTAGGACACACCATGGGTGGCAATTAAATATGAGACAAACAGTAATAGTGGAGCAAATGCCAGAGCACCAAACAACAACAGATTTGTTTACCTCCTGAGGTTCATCCTTTATCTCTTTGAGGGTCTGATAACAAACACAAAGCTGCAAACTGAAAGTTACAAAACGTTTCGGCGCAATAATCTGAGTGAAAGTGAGCAAAGACATGTTGGTATGTCAGGGGAAATCATCCTTTTCACTCGTTTATTAAAGCACAGATCAAATTCAAACGCACTGAAATGTGAAATTAAGTAAAAAATACTCTCATTTTCTCCCTGTTACCGAAAACCTAATCCTCCCTAATCAGCTGTTATTCAATTATTGCGGAGTTTCAATCGTTCAGGGATAATGTGCGGCACACTTTTGGACATCTGGACGGATAATTACGCAGAGGAGAGTTTATGGAGATGAGTGGACGCCTGCGATGGAAGCGCAGATACAGTCTCCATCAATGGGACATGTGGTGATGAATAAATAAAGAGGTAGCTGTTTGGCGGCCATGCGTCAGGCTGTCAGTGACGGTCAAACCCACAACAGATTTACTGCTGGTTTGTAATCTGAGATGTGATCAAGAGATGCAGCCTCACCCGGTCAAGTCAATTATGAGTCTCAATGTTGCTTTGTGTGCATCACCCTACGTGGAAAGAGACTGCAGAGCATATATTTAGGGGGACAAAACGTGAAAATAATGCATTATTTAAAATAATAAAATATTATCTTTCATGTAAGACAGACATTGCTTCAATAATAATGTTTTTGTTTTTTTGCTAGAGTCAACTGAAATCTGTACCAGATGGAGAAAAAAAATGTTCCAAAATGTGCTCCAAAAATTCATTACAACAAATACAATTCTCCAGATGATAAAAACTAGAGGGAGAAAGAGAGAGGAGTGAAGCGACTTAAATTACCTTCAGCATCTCATGAGAAGCTATTAGAGAGACATTTCATTAGAGTTGAATGAAGAGATCAATGCCATACCAACAGCTATGCTAATGAAGTTTCCACACTACACACACACACACACACACACACACACACACACACACACACACACACACACACACACACACACACACACACACACACACACACACACACACACACACACACACCTCTCTTGGATCAGGTTGCAGTATAGAAACACGTTTTTGCAGCATCACATCTCACCGCTTCTGAACAAAACTGCAGCTTCTTCAAAGCTCCTCAGCAAGGTTCATCTCCATCTCATTACAAACCTCTACAGGAAATAAAACATGATCAGAAGGCAAGAGAGAGAGAGGAAGTATAAATAGTACGATCATAAGATTCATCTTAATTCAGTGTCTAGAAATTGTGTGAAAACATATGGGAATTTAACAGTTCGTTTTTTAGTTTAAAATGTTTTTGATATAATGCGCTTTGTGAACGTTTTTTAATTCTTATTTTTTTACATTTTCTATATAAATTGTGATTATGTGGTTAGTGTGATCTATTTTGGCCATGGTAATCCTGACATGAAAATCTGATATTGTTATAGACTAAAAGGTTCTGTCACTGACATCAATACACATGTTGGCAACCATAATGCAGAAATAACCAAACTAAAGCTCTATCACTGAGGTGAACATAAACATCTGTACTGCTGTTCACAGACTGTTCACAGACTGTTCACAGACTGTTCACCGACTGTTCACAGACTGTTCACCGACTGTTCACAGACTGTTCACCGACTGTTCACAGACTGTTCACAGACTGTTCACCGACTGTTCACAGACTGTTCACAGACTGTTCACCGACTGTTCACCGACTGTTCACAGACTGTTCACGACTGTTCACCGACTGTTCACCGACTGTTCACAGACTGTTCAACGACTGTTCACTGACTGATAAGAAACACAATAAAGAAAGAAAACACAGGTAACATCCGGATGAGCCAGATTCCTGAAGGAGAAACAGGACACCTGTCGTGGAGATCCAACACCCCAACAGAGTCCACATTCATTTCTTATTACATGCTTAATGTACAATAAAGTATGTATTGAAGTAAAACATTAAGATACTTGTAATTCATTTGAGTATTTTCACATTATGCTACTTTAACCTATATACTCACATTTTGTAGGCAAAGGTTCTGCTTTTTACTCCACCACATTTATTTTACATGTTTAGTTACTTTTAGATTTAAGTTGTTAAAACAAAAATATAAATTGACACATATTATAGGCTAACCCATTAGTGTATAAAGTAATTAAAATGAACCCCACTGTTACAGTTCAACATTGAAGTGATGAATACAGCATCAATAATTTAGTAATTTTAATAAAATATTTAAAAAAATATCTTGTAATTAAAAGTGACATTTTGCGTAACACATACTTTTACCCTGGGTGCTTAAAGTACTTTCTTTTTGGCCAATACATTTTAACTTCTACTTAGGTATGCAGGACTTTTACTTGTACCTGAGTATTTGTACACTGCAGAATTGCTACGTTTACTTAAGTAAAGTGAGTAATTCTTCCACCTGTGATTACAAGTATGAGTATGAGTCATATGTATGAGTTATCTACTATTAAAGATATATTAATTCCCGACAACTATTGAAAAACATATTTGAGGTAGTATCAGTCTGGGTCAGGGATGGGGTTCTGCCGCGGTTCAGCTCTTTCTGTCTGATCCATCTTTGTCTTTGTTTGAGGCTCCAGAAATGGCTCTTCTAATCTAGCTAATTGCCGTTTCCCAGAGCTCGGCATTTAAGAAGAAGAGCTGGGTCACCAAACAGCCGTTGATCAAAACATCCTATTAAGGTGAAGAAACAAAAGGCTCTCACAGTCCTAACAATGTGCCAATGGTGATTCAACAGTTTGCTCCGTGGCCACAAAGCATTAATTAGGGCAATAACTTCATGCCATTGCCGTTCTATAGTCTCCATTTCTGTATGAGTGCATCTATTTGGGCTCTGAAGTTTGTCGGGGACTCTGACTTGCCGAGTGTGCCACATTCCCTTGTCCCATGTGCAGATGTGTTATTGGCGTAATGAGGAAAATACTTTGGGAAAAACGTGGGAGAGAGGCCCCCATACCCCAAAACTTTCCTGACAAAATAATATTCCTCATTGCGGTTGCTACCTAACGAGAATTGACATAATTACTCGGGCCCATTTCTTGTCTAATTAGCACGCTTCCACAGCGGACAGGGCCTAGCAGCGAGACAGGAGAAGGGAATCGGACAGGCATAGCGGTAGCAACACAAAAAGGGGCCTCTGGTTCAGCGTAATTAGGTGAGACAATGCCCCTGACTGTTTTGAGCTATGGCTGGGCTCAGAGCTGGGGCCGAGCGGACGCCCCGAGAGCAACGTCTCCCAGAGACCCTAATAAGCCCCTAATTGTCTTTTTGTGATTCACAGGGGCAGCACTGGCAGACATGAAGACAGCCCACTCTTGGTGTCCTGCAGAGAGCGTTTCCCTCGTCCAGCAGGACCGGAGAGATTTGAGTTGACTCTCCCAGGACCTACACTGTTTGGCCCTCAAACTCAGGACAACTTGTGTTAACGTCCTGCGACAGCTTCCCAAACCTGGAGAGCTGCCAGCATGTTGAAGACAGGCTAGGTTTCTCAGGCAGCCATGGGGTGTCCACAGAAACATTTCAGATTATTTTTTCTGGTTTATTGGATGCTGAGAAAAAAATCCTTGATAATTGTGTGTGAACCCTTTATAATCATTTGAATATAGTTAGTCTTGGAATTACAAACAAGACTTACATCTTACACATTCAGCAGACAATGAGCATAAACAACTTCTATTTTAAACTCTTAATAATATTCGACTGTTCTTTAAGTTTTGG